AGGACCTCCTCCCTGACCCGGAGAGGGCACTCTACCCTTTTCCGGCTCAAGACCATGGCCTCGGATTTGGAGGAACTGATCTTCATCCCGGCCGCGTCGCATTCGGCTGCGAACCGCTCCAGCGAAAGCTGTAGATCACGATCTGATGAAGCCAATAAGACCACATCATCTGCAAAAAGCAGAGATGCAATCCTAAGGCCACCAAAACAGATCCCCTCAACACCTTGGCTGCGCCTAGAAATTCTGTCCATAAAAGTTATGAACAGAATCGGTGACAAAGGGCAACCTTGGCGGAGTCCAACTCTCACCGGGAACAAGCCCGACTTACTGCCGGCGATGCGGACCAGGCTCTGACACCGGTCATACAGGGACCTAACAGCCCGTATCAAAGGGCCCGGTACCCCATACTCCCAGAGTACCCCCCACAAGGTTCCCCGAGGGACGCGGTCGAACGCCTTCTCCAAGTCCACAAAGCACATGTAGACCGGTTGGGCAAACTCCCACGCACCCTCCAGGACCCTGCTGAGAGTGTAGAGCTGGTCCAGTGTTCCACGGCCAGGACGAAAACCACACTGCTCCTCCTGAATCCGAGGTTCGACTATCCGACGGACACTCCTCTCCAGAACCCCCGAGTAGACCTTACCAGGGAGGCTTAAGAGCGTGATTCCCCTGTAGTTGGAACACACTCTACGGTCACCCTTTTTGAATAGGGGGACCACCACCCCGGTCTGCCAATCCAGGGGAACTTCCCCCGATGTCCACGCGATATTGCAGAGTCGCGTAAGCCAACACAACCCTACAACATCCAGAGCCTTAAGGAACTCCGGGCGAATCTCATCCACCCCTGGGGCCCTGCCACCGAGAAGCTTTTTAACCACCTCGGTGACCTCAGCACCAGAGATTGGAGGACCCGACCCAGAGTCCCCAGGCTCCGCTTCCTCAGTGGAAGACGTGTCGGTGGGATTGAGGAGGTCTTCAAAGTATTCCGCCCACCGACCCACAACATCCCGAGTTGAGGTCAGCAGCACACCACCCCCACTATAAACAGTGTTGGTGGCGTACCGCTTCCCCCCCCTGAGACGCCGGATGGTGGACCAGAATCGCATCAAAGCCGTGCGGAAGTCATTCTCCATGGCCTCTCAGAGCTCCTCCCATGCCCGAGTTTTTGTCTCAGCGACCACCCGAGCCGCATGTCGCTTGAACTGCCGGTACCCATCAGCTGCTTCCGAGGTCCCATAGGCCAAAAAGGCCCGATAGGACTCCTTCTTCAGCCTGACAGCATCCCTCACCGACGGTGTCCACCATCGGATTCGGGGGTTGCGACAGGCACCGACAACCTTGCGGCTGCAGCTCCGGTAAGCCACCTCGACAATAGAGGCACGAAACATGGTCCACTCAGACTCAATATCCCCCACCTCCCTCGGAACATGTTCAAAGTTCTCCCGGAGGTGGGAGTTGAAACTCCGTCTCACAGGAGACTCTGCCAGACGTTCCCAGCAAACCCTCACAGTACGTTTGGGTCTGCCAGGTCTGACCAGCATCCTCCCCCACCATCGGAGCAAACTCACCACCAGGTAGTGATCAGTGGACAGCTCCGCCCCTCTCTTCACCCGAGTGTCCAAGACATGCGGCCGCAGATCAGATGAGACGATGACAAAGTCAATCATCGAACTGCGGCCTAGGGTGTCCTGGTGCCAAGAGCACATATGGACACCCTTATGCCTGAACAAGGTGTTCGTTATTGACAATCCATGACGCGCACAGAAGTCCAACAACAGAACACCACTTGGGTTCAGATCAGGGGGGCCGTTCCTCCCAACCACACCCCTCCAGGTCTCACTGTCATTGCCCCCATGAGCATTGAAGTCCCCCAGCAGAACAAGGGAGTCCCCAGGAGGTGCACTTTCCAGTACCCCCTCCAAGGACTCCAGAAAGGGTGGATAATCTGAACTGCCGTTTGGTGCATAAGCACAAACGACAGTCAGAACCCGTCCCCCCACACGTAGGCGGAGGGAGGCCACCCTCTCATTTACGGGGGTGAACTCCAACACACAGGCACCAAGTTGGGGGGCAATAAGTATGCCCACTCCTGCTCGGCGCCTCTCACCAGGGGCAACTCCAGAGTGGAAGAGTATCTAGCCCCTCTCAAGGAAACTGGTTCCAGAGCCAGAGCCATGCGTAGAGGTGAGTCCGACTATTTCTAGCCGGAACCTCTCAGCCTCACACACCAGCTCAGGCTCCTTCCCCACCAATGAGGTGACATTCCACGTCCCAATAGCCAACTTCTGTAGCCGAGGATCAGACCGCCAGGGTCCCTGCCCTCGGCCACCACCCATCCCACATTGCACCCAACCCCTTTGGCCCCTCCCACAGGTGGTGAGCCCATGGGAAGGGGGACCCACGTCTCCTCTTCGGGCTGTGCCCGGCCGAGCTCCATGGGTAAAAGTCCGGCCACCAGGTGCTCGCCCGCGTGCCCCACCTCCAGGCCTGGCTCCAGAGTGGGGCCCCGGTGACCCACGTCCGGGCAAGGGAACACTAGGTCCGTTCATTTTTCTCATCAAAGGGGTTTTTGGGCTGCACTTTGTCTGGTCCCTCACCTAGGACCTGTCTGCCATGGGTGACCCTACTAGGGGCGTAAAGCCCCTGACAGCGTAGCTGCTAGGGTCATTGGGACACTCAAACCCCTCCACCACGGTAAGGTGGCAGCCCATGGAGGGGGCTGTTTCATGTTTTATTTTTCAACATAAACAAAAGCAAAAGCTGTCGGGGCAGCAAAACTTAGATGATGGAGGGAGTCGATAAAGGAACAGAAACAGAACATGACAGGCTTTCAAGCACAATCCACAGACAAAGGAGGAACACAGAGACGCTGAATTTGTAGGGAGGCTGACAAGACAAAATGATGAACACCTGAGGTGAGTAGGATTAGAGACAGGTGAGACAGGAGCTGAACAACAAGAAGGAAAAACAAGGAAACACAAGGATTAAAAGAGAACAAATACAGATTCTCACAAAGACACTGTTACTGTCCAGTGTTGCCAAGTCCACTTACTATAAGTGTTTTTTTTTGGCTTGTTTTTGAACGTGAAGTTGCTTATTTGAGCTTGACTTTTTTCCCCGAGTGAAACTAGTTGATTATCTCCCAGCTCCGCACAATAAAGCAAAACACGAGTGGTAGTAGGTAGTTTGTCCCTTCCAGGCCCTCGTTTCCTGTTTATCGCTCCCGCTCAAGTTGGGGAGAGGACAGGCACACACTCAAACACTCATACTGTGACCGACCACTAGGGGGCTTCACTCACACGCAGATGTCAAGATGTTTTGTTTTTAAAAATACGTAGAAAAAATATGATTTACATATTTGTTACATATGCTAAATGTATTTATTTTATCAGAGCTTAAAAGTATGTTATTCAAAATATTTAGCATAATTTTGTTGTTGTTTATGTGTCATGCCATAATAAATATACCGGGTATATTTATACTGTTTAAAAACGGCCTCTGTTTTACACAATGTGTTGCCAGTTGGGTTTTTTTTAAGCTTATTTTCATAGAGCTGGTTGTTTGTTTCTATTGCGAGATCTGGAAACATTGCTACTGTCACTGTAAACACTGGGCTAACTATTGAATAATGCGCCTCTACAGGCCATGAAGATGCAACAGAGGACTTTGGCATCTATGAGTTCGTGTCTGTACCGGGGAAAATGGAATCTACACAAGTATGTATTTACAGAATAAAACACAAATCCTTTGAAATTCACTTACATGCATTTTAAAATGCCCTAAACGTATAAACTATCCCCAGGTGTCCTGCAGATCTCTTGCCCGGCTTGAGACGATTCAAGATATGCACACCACCATCTACGATGTGATCAGACACGCTCCTGAATCTCCCAGTCAGAGTTTGCTGGAGTAACTTCTTGGAACTTGCAGTAATTAAACTTGAAGACTTTTGTGTAGCTTTAATTTTCAGCTCTCTTTTTGTCAAAGCCCGAAGCTCAGGGTTTTGTTGCTGGTTTTTATTTCTTTTGTTGCACAAGGGATGAAAGAGACGTGTTTCGGTACAAAACCTGAATATGCACTGTTACTGTTGAGAGTCCAGGACAGATAATTCATGTCTTACTTGATATTGTTGTACAATAAAAATAGACGTCTGGACTAATTTTTGCAAAAATGTGAAATATGAGTGAAAGTGAAATTTTGTTTTTTGGTTCAAGAGTGAAAATTGTTTAAAAAAAAAAAAAATCATTTTTTATTGCAGTATATTACTTTGACGCTCTTAAAATGGACCAGATATAAAATTTCAACTTGTTGATAAAAAAAAAACAAAAAAACTATCAGTTTGGAAAATATTTATATCAACATCATTGATATATTTTTAAGAACATTCTCCACGAAGAGACTAGATTTTCTAAGAAGTGTTAAAATGAATTCATTTATTATTTGTACATAAAAAAAATCTGATTTATTGTAACTATTGTATATGGAGTATCCTGAAGAAACTTTATACAAATTGTTATATTTCTCTGTTTTGCTGTAATCTGTTAACTCCTTTAGCAACTTTAAACTGTCTGTAAAACAAATCTGTTCATCCATTTCCCAAAGATATGACTCATGTAATTATGACAATAGATAAAGGTAATTTAAAAATGAAGTTTTTTTAATTGGTAAAAACAAACTGGAAGGTATTTCTTTGAGTCATCACTTACTTCTGAAAAACCTCCTCCTATAAATTATATTAAAATACTGTATTTTCTAGCGTATAAGTCACAGTTTTTTTTGCATAGATTGTCAATCCTGCGACTTGTAAACATTTTTATTTACATATTCATAATGCAATTTTTGACTAATGCTTTAAATTTCGAAGAACTACAACAGCGAGTCCTTCCGTACGTGCTCGCTTCACTCAGCTGGTGCAGGTGGAGGAACGCTGGAGAGCTAGAGGCTCCGGCCATGACGGATGGATGGCGCCATGCCCAGGCAAAATGAAGCTGATTTGACCATTAAAGTGCATTTATTGAAAAAGTTCAACTGAGACACACCTTTGATATAATATCGAACAAATAAATAATTGTTTTTAAGTATTAATCTTGTTAAATTTTGAAAAACTGCAGCAGTGAGTCGTCCCGTGCATGCTTGCTTCACTCAGCTGGTGCAGGTGGAGGAACGCTGGAGAGCTAGTGGCTCTGGCCACGATGGATGGAAAGATGTTGCCTCACCGCCCAGGCAAAACGAAGCGGTTTTGACCATTAAATAAAGGAATAATAAATACGACAGGTCAGTGGTGACACAGAATAAATGCGACTTATATATGTTTTTTCCTCTTCATGATGCTTTTTTTGACTGATGCGATTTATACTCCGGAGCGATTTATACGCTGGAAAATACGGTAACTAGAATATGCAAATGTTGCTCAAAAGCACAATATTTTGTTACATATTGTTGATTGCTGATGCACCTCAAGTCCTGGTTAGTGCAAGTGGTGCCCCATCACAAACTAACCATCTGATTTTTCTTTCTTTCTTTGCTTTAATATTAACAACTTGTCTGCATTGTGGCTAACATGGTGGATGGTTGGTGTAAGAAACTTCCCATGTAGCCTCCCTACTCAGTGTTCTCGCACTTTCACCTCATCGTAGTTTCTTTGCCTCCCCAAAGCTTTTCTGTTGAAAAGTGCTATAAGAACAAGTCCATAACTGGAGGAAGTTGAACACAAAAACTTTAATCTTGGAGTATCATTTAAGGTTTAACATTCTTTTGGTTGCCATTTTGTAAGATTTGGGCAACAAAACTTGTAACATTGTATGAGGGAGAATTCAGTTTGGATCACAACAGGGAAATTAATGATCAGATTTCTTTGTGCGTATTGTGAAGTTAACTTGTAATTATACTTTTTCCCAGCTCACAGTGAATATCTGAACAGATTTAAATAAGTAATTGTTGTACAGTCTGCATTCTTGTGGGTTTGTTTTGTACTTTATTAAAGATATATCCATTTAATGTACTTGTTCATTTGAACGTCTTCTTGTTGCTTTTTACTAAATACAAATAATGTGAATAATAAGGTGAATATGTAAATAGTGTGAATTTATCTGTCGTTTAATTGAAATTGGCTTTTTTTAAAGAACGGGACAGGCAGCTTGAAATGATCACTTTTCTTTCACACATCCTGAGGATAAAAACAAAAAATGAAGCCAGCTAAGCTGTCATTAATTTTGTTGGTTCGTTGTCAGTGTTTATCAGATGTCTTGGCTCTAATCTCCCTTCTCACAAAACTCTCAGTTGTGTTTACTGCTCCAGAATTGCAGCTGAGTGCTCGTTCCTGTCAGCATTTGGTGTGCTGGTATGCTGTGTACCTGGCACAATTAGAGCCTGGCAGCACCAGACGGACGGCTCTGGATGCTCAGAGTGCCCTCCACCTGCTCTCGCTCACACTTTGTCACGAGAAAATAAGAATGTGTGTGTGAGTGTGTATGTGTGTGTGACATTATTATTAATATTATTATTATTAATAACAAAGCAGAGATTTCAATTCAAGTGCAATTTATAAAATGACTGAATGAATCATATTATCAAGACTATCACTTTTGCACAAAAATGTTATTCAGTAGTGCTTAAGCATTAATCAGGGTGGCACTTATTTAAACGTGCATGAAATCAGCGCTATACAAACTGCAGAGAAATATGTATTTCTAATAATTATTACCTACACAATAATTAAAAATATAGAATTAGTGTGGCTCAGTATGATCCCTTCTGCATAATAACAATGAGCTTATCGAACGTAGCTCTAATTATACCGTAGCTTCTGAACTGACTGTGTGTGCTGCGTCTTTGTGGCGGCATCTCCAGGAAAAGGTGGCCATCTGTTCCGTCTCAGTGTATGTTCAAAGGGAGGCTCCACATTGTGCATGGCTGCCTACCAAAACAACAGTGGAGTAAATTCACCTAAGGAGAGCAACCTCACCTTAATTTGACTGGGAAATAGCCCAAGGCACTACTAACCAGGAAGTAGATCTCTCACCGCCTGCAGCATGTGCTGCCTGTAAATGCTGTTCAGTGTAAAACCTGAGGGGATGATTAGAAAGCTGGCTGAATGTCTGTATGTGCATTGTTTTTGGAATGATTTGGAACAGCTTGCAATACAGATTCATGCAGGTTCAATAGCTTGGCAGAGATGGAGCTGCATGACACTGAGTCATGGAAAGCATTGTGATGTAATCACTCATGCACATGGCTTAAATGTGGTTTACTGGACAATGCAGTATAAAACTCTTGATGAAGTGTATTTGAGTACGAAAGATACAGTATGCTAATATACAAAGTTTTCAAGACACACAAATACATCTGTACAGACACAAATAAATTGGTCCTTCCACAAAACCAAAGTACCATACTACATATGATGTGTCTGGCCAGAATGCTCCTGTTTGTTTCAAAAGTCCCAGGAACATCTCCAAGATCCGTCTACCAAGAATGTCTCCCGGAAATGGATATCAGAAACATTGGGAGACGTCAACATATGTTTTGGTGAATTCCTGTCAGTTGTGTGTGTGTGTGTGTTTCAGTCAATTGTAGGGCTCTCTCTCTGCAACAGTTGATGACTGTTTGGTTGATGAACCCAAGGCAGAACAACAAGAGTCAGGAGAAGACTAAGGGGGTAGCCCAGTGCCCACCCAGACAGGCAAAATGGTTTAGGAGTGCAGGCTGAGGTCTGCCCTGGAAGCAGAGAAAGTTTGAGGGTCAGTCTTGGAGCAAAGGCAGTTCAGACAGGTGGCGCAGGGCTCTCCCTCACAGACATGACAGATCCTATAGCGATGTGACTATTCCTTGAAAACTGGTTGCCGGCAGAAGCTGGTTGACCTTAACAATGAGCACTGTTGGAGTGGCATCTGCCAGGACCCCTTCAGACTTGGGACCAGAATTAAGCAGAAGTGAGGTTGACCTTGACCTCTCTAAGTGGCTTTAAGAATCTGTTGGACTCCTGGCAAGGACCAATGCAGACATGTTCCTGTTTTTAGTTTTCTACATTTGCCTTATAATCTAGCAGTTTTTGTTACTTTTTTACCATCTTATTTGTAAATATATATATAAAAAATAAATAAATAATCTGTATGACTTTTTATAACTGTCCATTGTTAACATCGTTCTTTGTTGAAATCAGATCTCTCTTGTAAATGAGTCCTCGAGGCTCAGTGGGATTAACCTGTCTGAATAAAGGTTGAATGAAGTGTCTGGTGGGACCTCCTCAGACTATAAGAATCAAGGATCAGGCAGAATCCTGAGCAGAAGCGTGCATCAAAGTTCCCTGAGATTCAGAATTAGGAATTTATCAAGAGGCATTGACATCTATTCCCCTCAGACCAAGGAACAGGAACTGGAACTTCGGTACAACCTGTGTAGTATATGTTAGTTAGATGCAATATATATCATGTGCCTTTAAGCTTATATTACTACCTGTGAAATACTTATTCATACAAATTCATCCTACCTGCATCATTATATTTTACTGTGTTGTTGTTTACTATATTTATTTTGTACATTATAAATATATTTCTTTTTAACTTTTTGGTACTTTATTTTGTACCCTTATTGCATGCTTTAATATTTTTTTCCCAAATTTTTTTTATTTGCAGTTTTTATAAATAAAAATATTCCAAAAATCAAATTTGTATACAGTATTTGGTACAAATTGTTAACCAAAATCCAACACAACATAAAAAAGGAAATATATATATATACAAAGTGCCCTTACATTCTCTAAAGGTTTGAGCAGTTCAGAATCTGATCATCTTCTGTCTCCAAGTTTTTGATATATAAGATGAAGGGTCTCCAAACTGTTTCAAATTTGTCTTTTTTGCCCTTCAATATATAAGTAATCCTTTCAAGTGGAAGAGTTGATGTCATATGTCGTAG